GACGTCCCTGCGCGTCCGTCACAGAAATAGTCACGTGGCCTAGTCACCTGTGTTGCACTATTGCAGTATAACAAGTAAGTCTCATTCGATCTCAGACAGGGTTAGATAGGGCAGTGATAAAGTAAACTAGAGCTAACAGTGAGTTCATTTCAGGGTTTCCGTCAGAACCCACTTGACCGGAGTTGACCGGAGTTGACTGCGAGAGATTGACTGCCGCTTGAGACTGCCGTTGATGATTGAGGGTGGCGATTGTCGCCATTGGACCGATCAGTGTAGGCCTGTCACTGTTTAGCGGGGTAGCAAAGGATCTCTTGAGGAACGAGTGCTCCCGACAACTAAAACGACACGGGACCAGCATCAGCAGTGGGTGATCAGTTCTTACCACTCGGGTGCACAACACCGCGTGTCCTCGGTCAGCTAGAAGTGTTACCTACTGGCCATAGACACCTGCTGGCGTTCTCTCTTCCTGCCCATGGACGCACTGGGAGTACACTGAGGCTATCTGAGTAAATTAATGGTCACACACTGAGACCGTGAGTCTAGGACTCTAGGAGATACCTAGAGGAACATTTTATCTCCCTTATTACGGGTGTAGTTAATACTATTTCTCAGACTGATATTATCTTGACGTGTGTAGTTTAATAGTTCCTAAATAATTTTGATAGTAGTGTTTTTTGAATGTTTGTGTCATTAAGTGGAACCAGAGTGATACTGTGATTTGATTCTTTTAATGCATCTAATTTTTCTTCATAATTCTGATCTCAGGTATAACCTTTGTTCCCCAGAGTAGTGTTTAAGTTAGGTTAGGAAGAGTGCATCTGTTGGGGTGATATAATTTTGTTGAGTGCCCTTAAGGCCTATTCATTGTAGAGTATTTAATTTCTTATTTTTTATTACCATTTCCTCAGTGACTGATATTATTTTGGTGAAAGCCCTTAAGGCCTGTTTCATGTGTGCAAGCAACATTTCTTAATACTTCAAATTTATTGTTACCTGAGTTTCTAATAATTTCTATATCATGTATAACTTTTATTCCCCAGAGTAGTGTTTTAAGTTCAAGTTAAGAGGTGCGCATATTGGTGTACCATTATTTGATTGTGTTTGTAGTGTTGGAGGGAATATAAGTGTCTAAATTTTACAGTGTGTCTCATTCATCCCAGTCATAGACGCTATCCTTCCACGGGTCACGGAAAATTCATTTTGTTTAGTAGATTTAAGTGTTCTTGCGCTGGTTCGGGATTTTTCTCAAAGGGGCGCTTCCACTGCCATTACCATCTTATAATCTTTAATAAACCCCAAGTCCAGTAAATTCCGACCGGTTACATATATATATATATATATATATATATATATATATATATATATATATATATATATATATATATATATATATATATTATATTATATTATATTATATAATATATATATATATATATATATATATATATATATATATATATATATATAACAGAAAGAAGATCTGCATAAAACAGACATACTTACATATACGTGGAGAACAAAAAGGGTCCACACAGATGACAAGGTGACGTGTGGGAGATTGTGTTCAGGCATTCTTATAACGTAGACTAATTCACCTCTTTCGTCGCCTAATCTTACGACTGAACCCAATCTGGCTCCTGAGAGGGCAGGTCAACCAGGCTCTCGATACCTACACCCAACAAGCACGCCTGGGGGAAGCATCAAGGTGGCGAGTGCCTTAGTGGCGCAGGGCACCATTACAGTGACTCTTGGCCTGACGGTCACTACGACGCCGGAAGCTAACACCTGCCAGCTGGTATGAGCCTACCAGCTGACAAGAGCCTACCAGCTGACATGAGCCTACCAGCTGACATGAGCCTGCCAGCTGACATGAGCCTACCGGCTGGTGTGAATCTGTCAGCTGGTATAAGCATGGTGGTAGCTGGTGTGTCTGCCAGCTGGTGTGGGTTTAGCCTCAGGTGTGGGTCTAGGTTATGTGAGTCCAGCCTTTGATATGGGTCTGTCTTTTGATGAGGAAAGAAAGAAAGAAAGAAAAAAGAAAGAAAGCGTGCCCCGTTGAATCAGCTTAACTTGAAGGCCACCAGACGTCTTACCCTGAACTTGACTGACCACACTGCTCCTACATCGCTTATGAGTGCACCCGCTGGGCCTCCGCCAGGGCACACAGGGATCCAAGAAAAGTGATTTCAATCAAATAAAGCAGGAAATAATAAAAAAACACAGAACAGGTATTAAATCAAATGCGCTATGCAAGAATATGGCATATCGGCATCAACTTTAATGAAACAATTCTTGCACAAAAGACAAATTTAAGGAAATGAAGCGTGAGAAGACAAATCTACAAAGAGTGTTTAAAAGTAGATCCTAATCGGCCAAAACTGAGAAGTTACTTATCATCTGGATAGGAAAACAGATGAAAAGGTGATTACCAGTTTCTGGTAATTCTCAGCACAATGAAAAACCCAGGAAATTTATAATTGTTAAAACAGATCAACCTGGTTCTTCAGACTGAAATTTGAAGATTTTCAGACTGTAAAGGCTGGTTAGAAAAATTTAAGAAAAAAGTGACATTTTTAAAATGTTGTTTCAGAGCATGGTGAAGCTGCTAGTGCTGATAAAGAAGGGGCAGCAAAGTTTTAATTGAATTTAAAAACTGATGGAAGAAAGAAAATTATCTTCCACAGCAAGTGTTCAATGTTAGCGAAACTGGGCTGTTCTGGAAAAAAGATACTAAAGACATCTCATAGGATAAAACTCTTTACTAGAGCACTTGCTTACATGAAAGATCCGTCTCACTCTGACCCAACTTGGTGCCAATGCTTTAGAAGTTTCCGACTGTTCCTTGTCTACCACTCCAAAACTAGGGTAATTTGACAAGTGGTAAGAACAGTAGCAGGTTTATTGGGGAATGCTTGTAAAGCACCCATTGTAAAGACAGTTGTTCTTCAATGAATGGAGCTATTTGATGTGTTTTGCCCTCTGTCCAGAAGCTACCTAACCTGTAAACTTCCTTCACAAGGCTCTTCTCCTCATGGATAATGCTCCTGGTCATGACCCTGACCTTGCCAGAAGGCCCCAGATTATCAATTTGACTTTTTGAAAGTGTTGTTTTTTCCTCTAAAACACTACATCACTCATGCAGCCAATGGACCAGAATATGATCAACTACTTCAAAAAGTTGTACATGAAGAAAATGTTTAGGAGGTGTCATCAGGCAACTGCATTGATCCTGACTCTTTGCTAAGCGACAGTTCTGGAAGACACAATTCAGCATCTGGGCTGAAATTGATTGTCATCATGGCAAGAAGTCTCCAATAGAACCCTCAATTCTTCATGGAAAGCTGTGGCCATCAGTAGTCCATGATTTTGAGGATTTGAGATGACACAGAGTTGGACCGGAGATTGTGTCCATTGGTCAGTCATTAGGTCTTGAAGTGAAGGAAAAGGATGTGGAAACATGATGTCTCATGAGAGGAACTTACTCCTAATGACGAAAGGGAACTGGATGAGATATTGCGGGTAAAGGCTGACAGTGGTGAGAGGAAATTGAAAGTGATGACCATATGTCAGCTAAACAGTTGAAAGATGTGATTTACCACTGGGGAGAAGTTCAAGAACTGGCTTCAAAAGCACCCAGAAAAGTGGGAAAAAAAACTGAACTAACTTTGTGTCATGTTGAGGACTCAATGGTGTCGCTAACTAAGCATAAGTTAATAATGGTGAGGAGGACAGATGCCCACACAGACCACAATTGACACTTTTCTTCAGTAAAGCTGAGGAACAAAATCTCGCTCAGCACTTCACACTTTAGAAAGGAGAGAGGATGTTCATGATGGAAGACCATCCAGTCCAGAAGGATTCTGACATTTTCATGGAAGAACTCACCTTCCAAGCAGTAAAATGCTTCTCCTCCACCTCCACTTCCTTCTCTTCTCCCTTCTCCTCCTGCACCTCCCACTTCAAATGCACATCATCACCATCATCCAAGACTTCTACATACCTCAAAGTAAATGAATTTTTCCATTTTGTTGAAGTTAGGAAATTTTATACTGTACTTATCTATACCTGTATATTAACTTCCAGAACTTTATTATATATTCCTAATTCACAACATTAATCTGCCATCCTTTCTGAATCTTTACATGGTTGCTTCAGCAATGATAGATACATAAGAACAAAAGTGTCTTTACCTCTCAGTTAGCTTGAACCCATCATCATCAATTGCTGGCACTAACTGAAAGGGGTTGATGTTGGCATACTCCTCTGTTCTGTGTTCACCTATAAAATAAAACACCAATACAGTATATATACTCTGCTTTAAATGTACACCTGTGGAGATAAAGTTATGAAGATTTCACTCTCAAATTGTTGCACACACATATAAGCTTGAAACAAATGCAAAGAATTAATGCAAACTGTATGTGTTAATGCAACATTTACTGGTACCTGTACAGACACACCAGTTCTATAGAAAATGATTATGAAAACATGCAAACAACAAGGGAATCTACAACAGTATCTTCAGTGTGCAGAAAATGATTGATTGATCCTGAAATATTATTTTCTAGCAGACCCCAATGCCTAACCTAACCCTCTGAAGACAGCAGTAACGTTAAACCCTAAAATTCGCTCGATGACCAAAACGATAATAATACCGCTCTTGTATAGTGCTGGCCAGCTTGAGAGTTTGATCAGTGTGTCTTAAACCTTATGACAGCTGGAGACTTTTCTTATGATTATCAACTCCTTCTATCACAATCATTACCCATAAAGGAGGGATTTAGAGGCTAAGGTCACCCTTTAGAGGTAGGAGGTTTGGTTAGTCAAACTGCATAGTGAGAACTTTATACCACTGATACAGGCTGCCACCTTCAATTTTAAGGCAACTCCACCAATTTCCTTTAGTTTCCAGCTGACTAACTACTAACACAAGGGAGAAGGCAGGTTATCCAAGCCTTAGAATTGAATAAACGGTTAATATTTAGAAGTTGCCAACACCAAAATATATACTGAGTCTTGAATGGGGAGAAAGAGAGAAAATCTGACAATTCATTTTATAGAAATTCCTTAGGAAATTTATTTCTCGAAAAATATAAATTTCAGACGGAAACACTATAAGATGAAGTGGGTATTATTTTAGTTTCGGTCATCTGGGGAATCTTAGGAATCTAGGTTAGGATAGATATAGTTCCTGGGTTCTGTGGCCAAGTTAGGTTGGGTTAGGTTAGATCAAAATCATTTAAAACACGTCAAAATTATTTTTAAAAACATAGTTTGGATATCTAAATACAGGGATCACCGAAACAAAATTTTTACCTAGCCAGAAGTACAAAAAACTGTGAGTGCAAACTTCTTCAGAGTGAAAACTGTGAGCTCTTGGAACAACCTGCCAGAAAGTGTTATGATGGCACCGAGTGTGAGCTGTTTCAAGACAAGACTTGACCAACACTGGAGCAGATTCAGATACATTCAGGAGCTGATGCATGCCCAGTACATTGCCAACAGTGCATAACGGAGATGTGACCGATCGCCCATGCAGCTAATGAGAGGATTAGTGGCAAAGAGGATAAAAGAAAGAATAAGATTAATTGTTTTTAGTTTTTTATGTCTCCCAATATAAGATTTAATATATAAATAGGAGTTGGCAACTTCTAAATATTTACCATGCAAACTACAGTATTGCTTATGCAGAAAAATATCATGAGTTTTGGTTGGTGGAAACAAATGCAATACCGTATTAGATTTTCTAGTTCAGTACAGTAGTTCTCTGAGTAATTAATTATTGACGGCTGACCTGTGGCCGATTTTTCATAGAAAACGATTGTAAAAATACCACAATTTCACTGTTTTCATGTGGACACTGTTGCAGTTTGTGAGGTTAATTTTCACCAATGCACCGGTCTTTGTTTGGATATTAAAAATATGTTTTTCCGATGGCACTGAAAAGTCAAATCTCCGTTCCCGATGCACCCACGCATTGGGGTCCGACTAATTACCCAAATGTACCCAAATGTAGCCAAATATAGCTGGAATGAAGTCAAATAATGGTCCTAGATGAATAAATCGGACTGCCAATCACTTCTCGACTAGTATTTGGGGTCAGAAAGTCACAAAAAATTGGAAAACTTACTTTAATCTGAGTTAATAGATCGCGTGCATGTACCGAGGGAGCGAGGAATTACCCAAATGTAGTCGCAATGAAGTCAAATAATGGTCCTAGATGAAAAAATCGGACTGCCAATCACTTCTCGACTAGTATTTGGTGTCACAGTCACAAAAAATTGGTAAACTTAATTTAATCTGAGTTAATAGATTGAGTGCATGTACCTAACCTAACCTAACCTCGACTAATATTTGGTGTCACGAAGTCACAAAAAATTGGTAAACTTAATTTAATCTGAGCTAATAGATCAAGTGCATGTACCTAACCTAACCTAATCTACTTGTAACCTAACCTAACACAACACAACTCAGATTAAATTAAGTTTACCAATTTTTTTTTACTTTATGACACCAAATAATAATCGAGAAGTGATTCACAGCCCGAATTACGCTTGTACGACCATCATTTGACTTCATTGCGGCTACATTTGGGTAATTCCTCGTTCCCTCGGTACATGCACGCGATCTATTAACTCAGATTAAAGTAAGTTTTCCAATTTTTTGTGACTTTCTGACACCAAATACTAGTCGAGAAGTGATTAGCAGTCCGATTTATTCATGTAGGACCATTATTTGACTTCACTGCGGCTATATTTGGGTACATTTGGGTAATTAGTCGGACCGACGCATTGTTCATTGACTAAGACAAAAAACTCTTGCCCAATTATAAGTCTCCTATCACTATAGCCAATAAGAAACTCCCACACCACCTCCGCACATGCGTTGTAGACCTTCTCTTTGAGAGACGTAAACAAATACAGCGACACTTGTGACTGACCAACTCTAATAATATTGAAAAATTAATATCTCGGGTAGCCTTAATTTCAGCGGAAATATCATAGAAGAAAAGGGTCTTAGAACTGTCTAAATATTACGAAAAACATATTAATAACAGCGAGAGAAAGGCCGGGGCAAGACTGAAATTTCACCAGTTTGTGCAAATTTATTAAAAGGTGGTTAATTCTAAATTAAATCAAACCTAACCTTAGTTGATATGAAAACAAGAGCAGTCATTGCTAGAAGATCTCACCAGCTTAACCAAACCTAACTTCCTAGCATGGGGGCCCCGGTATAATAAACAGAAAGAACTTACTATGATATGGTGTAATTTTATGTTTTTTGTGGAAGTGAGCGCAGCCGTCCGTACCGAACAGTTCTTAACCATTCACCGAGCATCGGCGTTGATCAAGCCAGGGTGGCGGAGTGTTTTGAAATACATCGATATGATTGGCTGTTTACATCTGGGACGAGACGTTGTCACCGCTGAATTACCATCCAGAAGACAAAGTAGTGCACGCCTAGGCACCAAATTATGTACCAAACGAAGCATTTGCACTAGAAATAATTATAATATCAGAACTTACTCGTGAAAATAAAGCAAGAAAAAAATCCAGTAAAATAAATAACTTCCACGGGTCAGTCGTCAATGTTAACCTAACCACTTTTTAACACATTTGCACAAACTACGAGTGTTCACTATAAAACACAGTGAAATTGAGACTTTTATAATAATTTTCTCTGAAAAATCGGCCCTGGGTCAGTCGTCAATAATTACGGTAAAGGTGCAGATAACAGCTACCACCAGAAGGAATTGTAAGAATTGGTTGAAATTTTTTCTACACACTAATATGATATTAAACCTAAAAATGGAAACTACAATGCATAGAACCTGACCTAACATACCCATAGGTTGGGCATGTTAGGTCAGGTTCTATGCATTATCATCATTAATTTATGTGATTAACGGGTCTGACTAATTACCCAAATGTACCCAAATGTAGCCAATATAACCGGAATGAAGTCAAATAATGGTCCTAGATGAATAAATCGGACTGCTAATCACTTCTAACGTATATGGTGTCAGAAAGTCACAAAAAATTGGAAAACTTACTTTAATCTGAGTACATTTGGGTAATTAGTCGGACCGGTGATTAACGACTTGCCTTAATATTGAGGTCGATATAAATCAGCAATGGCGAGGAAGAATTTTGGAAGGATTCACCATCATTAATAGGAAATGTCTCGAAGAGGGATTCAGTGAAGTAAACAACAAAAATGTCATTTCTTTTAATATACTTAAAATCAAGACAATAAGTATAGCATAAATAAAGAAATTCAACAAACTCATTCTGGTGGTAGCCATTATTTAAGCCTTTATCACAATTACTTTGCACTCCACATATAGTTTGGACTTTGGAAGTTCAGAGGACTTAAAATATACAGTAATAATTGGGCTTCAAAAGAGTACAATGGAAGGCTCTTACACAGGCCACTAGCCTTGTTCCCTCGGCATGGCAACCACTAGTTTGTGTGGCATTAGATATATAAAGTAAATACTGTACTGTAAGTAATCTCACCTTTGCGCAGCGCCACAGGCCTCTCAGAGAATGGAATTTTGTTCTTTTTCATAAATATAAATACAGCTCTTGAAGGCTGTGACAAAAGATCGTAATAAAGCTTCAACATTCTTCCTTCTCTTCAGAATACAGTATGATGAACAAAATGTACTGGTGAGGGTCTTGGAGACAGCTACTTCACCATGAGTGGACACTTTACTGGTCCGGGAACTTCTGTAACTTCTGTAGCAGTTAAAAGTGAAGTCTTAGGTAAAAATCAAGTACCAACATTCCTTTGACGACACGTACGTTTTTATACGTTTGATATTATTTAAATTATATTATTTTAATACTTTTAATTACTTTTATCCTCTTCAACACTGGTCGGCTCGTTAGCCGATGACGCTAAGTTATTTCGGGAAGTTAAGAACCAAGCAGACTGTGAAGAGCTGCAGAAGGACCTCTGTGGGCTCCAGGAATGGTCGAAGAAATGGCTGCTGAGATTCAATGTCACGAAGTGTAAGAGGATGCACCTGGGGCGTACCAACGGTAAGGAGGCGTATCATCAACGGGATGTAGAAACTGCACTAGTTGAGACTGAATGTGAGAAGGACCTAGGTGTATATGTTGACAATGAGCTGAAGTTCTCGGGCCATTGTGAGAAGAAGGTAAATCAGGCAAATAAATTATTGGGTCTTATAAGAAAGTCGTTCAGATATCTAGACGGTCCGTCCCTCGTGACGATCTTCAGGAGTGAAGTGCTTCCCCATCTGAAGTACTGTCACCCCATCTGGTCCCCGAGATATGCTAAGGACTGTCAGTTGGTTGAAAATGTTCAAAGGAGGGCCACCAGACTGGTGCCTGCACTTCGGCACCTCAGCTACCCTGAGAGATTGGAGCGCCTGAACTTGCCTAGCTTATACTACAGACGGGCAAGGGGGGATCTAGTTCAGGTGTATAAGCATCTCAGGGGGCACTACTCAGTTGAGTGTCCTTACTTGGAGCTGGCGGACGCTCGCCCCACAAGGGGTCACAGCTCAAGATTGAAGAAGCTGCAAGTCCAGAAAACTGTGAGGGCAAACTTTTTTGGAGTGAGAGTTGTGAACAGGGTTGCCAGATGTACGACAAGCTTCACGGCCAAATTCACGCCATCTCACGGCCAAAACTTTTTGGATGGGAAGCACAAGGCTATTTTTGCAATGCACACAAAATAAAAGTATCCCCTACAATATCCACTTAAAATGTCGTAATAAAACCAAATTTTCACTTAGAATTGAGAGCCCAATAATTACATAAACATAATATCTATAATCTACAGTGAAGATTTACCTTATCTGAAATGGTGGTGGAGCATGACAATGGTGGAGAACTTGTGGGGTACGGGTTGTTTGTGTTCACTCAGGATGGGATGGAGAAAGGAAACTCACAATGTGCTCTCTATATACATGTTGTATTGGATGTACAATGCAGCTTGGTGCTGGGAAGGCAGCATAGTTACAAGCGTGATGTAGAGAGAGCTGATTGGTGAGGATGCTCACAGGAGGACAGCTTGTGGGTCGCCATGCTCTCCGGCGGGAGCGAGGACCGCCAGGCAGGCGGAGGAGGAGGAGGAGGTGTTGCTGGCTGGTTGGTGTAGGTAGAAAGAGACAGGTCACCACGAGGTCAGGTCTTAAATAGCAGGGGTTGGCGTGGCTTAGTAGTTGACCCCCGCTCCGTGATGTATGGCGGCGCTGGTTGACCTAGACCACGAGGCATACACTGGGGAATTGGTGGGGTCGGCTACTCAGCGACAAACAGCGTTTGTAGGGGAGAAATCCACTACAAACTTGATAACACTAGTTGGCTTAAGCAAAAACGTCTAGTTCGTCATCGTCCCCTGGTTTGTCATATTTTCTACCACTGTCGTAGGACCCTTTCCATTTACTTGTGGACATTTTGAAAATTAGCACTCGGAATTTCAGAAAGTAACTCAGATGGCTTTGTAAGCTCTGAAGCTTAACCCATATGCTGGACACGTTCAGCCTGAACAACTCAAATATGAGAACTAACAACTAAGGTAGTAACTAGAAAGATCAGTCAGCTCAGGTCACGTAAACATGTGAAGAGGTGAGGTCACTGATTAGGTGAGGTCATGACAAAGTGAGGTCACTGAGCCAGCATTTTCATTGCGAAATTTTAAAATCTGCTAGACTTTTCTTCAAAATCCACTAGATGAGGAATTAATACGTGTTTTACAAAATTCGGCCAAATAATTTGGCCGTGACCATCCATTTTTTCACGGCCAAGAGAAGTTTTTTACGGCCTAATTAGAGAAATTTGGCCGTGGAAACGGCCATTTGGCAACCTGGTTGTAAATTCTTGGAACAATCTACCAGAAAGTGTTGTGACGGCACCGAGTGTGAGCTCTTTCAAGACAAGACTTGGGCTCACTGGAGGTGACTCAATCATTTGCTTTGGCCGCTGACCACGCCACACTCATAGGAGGGGATTTCAACACACATCATCCCTTCCTAAGCTCGGTAAGCCCCACAAATGAAGACTGCCTACACCTATACACCACCTTTCAAGATACACCCGAGATCTGCCTCCTGAACACCGGAGAGCCCACCCACACTAGGGGAGGAAGGCTAGATCTAACCTTCGTCTCCAGTGCACTACAGCCTTCGGCCTCCTGGCAGCTACACCCCACGCTGACCAGTGACCACTTCGCCACCCTAACAACACTGAAGGTGAACAAACTCCCCACTCCACCCCCCCGAGATGGAGATACAATACCCAAAAGGCAGACTGGGGACTCTTTAAGAAACACCTGGCTAAATGGCGCGAAAAATCACAGCCGGCCGGCGCAGCACCCGTGGACGAGACAACCCTCCACCAACAATTGGTCGAGGCGTTTCACCAAGCGGCAGAAGAGGCTATCCCAAAAACAAAACCCACATCAAGACAGTACAGTGATTACTGGTACTACTGTCCCAGGGTGAAAGAACTCAACCACAGAGTGAACATGGCCCGAAGAAACTACAGGAGACATCCCACGGAAACAAACAGACATCTCCTGCAAGTCATAGTTAAGGATACCAGGGAAGAGAAGGAAGAAATAAAAAACGTAAGCTGGCTCAAGTGGTGCTCCGAACTGAACGAGCACACCTCCCTTGGCAAGATGTGGGCCCAGATCCGAAGGGCATCTGGGAAGGCAACACCACCACCACCAACCCATCCCAACCCAGAAGAGGAAGCCGAGAGACTTGCAAAACTGTTCTCTGACCGAGCAGCAACGAAAAACCTCCCGAGACAGGCGGAGGAGACACAACGGCGTCTGCAACAGACCAGACTCCAGATGATCGAAGAGGCCTTCAACAGTGAAGATGACACCGACAAACCTTTCAACCAGCAAGAACTCCAGAAGTCGCTAAAACGAAGCAAGGACACAGCACCAGGGGCCGACAGGATAACCTACTCCATGCTTTCCCATGCCGGTACAGCCGGACACGAGGCTCTGCTACAAGTCATCAATGCTTCGTGGACAGCACAAAGACTCCCACCGAAGTCCATTCCGAAGCCCAGAGAACCAGACAAACCGAGGCCCATCTCCCTTCTCAGCTGCATAGCGAAGACGGGAGAAAGAATGGCTCTCAACCGACTCAAGTGGAAAGTAGGCAGCCCACACCCTCACATCTTTGCTTACACCGAGAACACCGGCACAGGCAACAACATCGCCGAGATACTCAGCACAGTGGACTACAAACCAGCTCTGGTGGTCTTCCTCGACCTGGAGAAGGCCTTCGAACTAGCAAATCCACTGGCCATTACAACGACGCTCGCTGAGAGAAGCAAGATTACGCTTTCAGGGAGCAACCTCAAGCTACAGGGTCCATGAAAACGGAACCCCACAAGGAGGCATCCTCAGTCCAACGCTGTTCAATGTCCTGATGGAAAATCTTGTCAAACTTCCTTTCAGACAAACAGCCAAGCTCCTATGCTATGCAGACGACTTACAGCTTATAGTAAGAGGATCAAACAGACTAGCCAACACACAACACGCACTCCAACTTATAGAAGAGGAGTGCAACAGACTTGAACTCAAGATAAATCCAGCCAAGTCGAAAGCGATGGCCATCTGCACAGACACACCAGACAAGATGCTCTCCATACAAAACACGCCGGTAGTCTGGACCAACACCCACCAGTGTCTTGGAATCTGGTTTGACCAGAAACTCACCTTCAAACCGCAACTCGAGTATCTCAGGCACAGGACGAAGAGCAGACACAATATAATGAGGTCGCTCACCAGCACAACCGCAGGAGCAAACCTTCATGTGCTCAAAGCCTACTACACGGCTGCCATCAGATCGCTGGTAGATTACAGCGCTCCAGCGCTCATTGGACTGAGAGAAGACCAGATAGCTAAGCTAGAAGTTATCCAAAATAATGCTCTCAGGACCATGCTCGGAGCACCCATGTGGACCAGAATTTGCAATTTGCAATTGGAAACCGAACTACCACCCCTGGCAGTACGAGTCAAGCAGGTGACAGCCGGTCTCCTCGCCAAAATCTGTAGATCAGATAAGCCCACAGCTGCCAAAATTTGAATCAGTGCCTCCCTCCACCTCGACCACAGAGTGCGAGGGGCCACCTGGTCGCACGAGGCAAGCGAGGTCAACTGACACCTGCAAGCAGAAACACTCGTCATCAAGAACAACCAAGACACACGAGACAATGGTTACGTAGTTCCTCCACCATGGAGCCCTCCAGCCACATTCAAAATTACCGACCTAGGCGATAGTAAAGCCAACCTCCAGAAGGAGGACCTCAAAAAAATAACTCTGGAAGCCATAGCCACCGAGACACCGGCTGATGCAGCATCATACTTCACAGACGGCTCGGTGGATCCAAAACATCATACATCCGGAGCGGCCTTCTACACCCAAGGTCAGACCCTCCGATGGAGACTTTCTAATGACTGCTCCACCCTACAAACAGAGCTGGTAGTAATCTCAAAGACCCTACAACACGCTGCAACACAACACAACAAGTCCATCATAATTCACACGGACTCGAAATCGGCCATGCAGGCGCTGCAACACAGTCAACCAAAAGACAACGTCCACATCATAACCTCGATCCTCGCACAGCTACAGGAATTCCAAAGACAAAACCGCCCAGTCGTCTTACACTGGATTCCCAGTCATGTAGGGATCGGAGGAAACGACGTGGCAGACGAAGCAGCCAAGGCAGCTACACGTTCTCGGAGCGTACACATTCAAGTTCCAGCAAGCGTGCAACAGATCAAGAATCACCTCAGAAAGACTAGCAAGCTCCACATCAAAAAGAGCTTCCTTCACGCATTCAACGCTGGTTCCCAATCAGCCAAATGGTACCTGGCGGCTACAAAAGGGGAACCACCTTTCGCTGA